TAGTCTCAGCGTGAATAGATACCTTTGATCGGACTAAAAAGGAGAGTAATTAAAGTACGCATAATTAAAACTAAAAACCTTTCACCATTAAAAAAGAAAAAAATTAGTCAAAAGTTTTGATACATGAAATAATAAATTGATTGAACCAAACACAATTAAATACAACAAAAACTCGATTACGAGTTGTATGCGGCACGAACCTAACCATTCATAATTATAAATAGGATATGTAAAAATTGAGTTAATTTAAGCACGACAAAATTTGTACATGAGACACATATGTAGTGGAGCCTAAAACAATGATTACTCTTGAACAACTTTCATCTTTGATAATGACGTAACTACCCCTCAAACAAAAAGCAAATTCCAATCTTCTTCGTGAGGCCAGGCCACCGAGGCAAGTGAGTTCTCTTGGACACATCAAATATTTTCTGGTTTGATGCACCGAAAGTGAACTCAAATTCATCACTTTTCGTAGGAGCGTCTCTGGCTTTGTTAAGAAATAAAAAATTCCTCTATGCATCTTTTCGAAAATAGAGAGTATTTTAATTAAAAATAATAATTTTTTAATTAATATAAAAAAAGTTTTTTTCAACAATTTTAATATGGATTTTTTATTATAATAATAAAAAAAAACAACTTATATAGTCAAATCATTTCTACTGTTATCCCATTAGCGGCTCTTTTTTTTGATATTAAGAAGTCGTTTGATTTGCGAGATTGAGTAAAATCTCTGTGTTGGATTAAGTAAAAGTGTAGGTCCGGACTTGTAATGAACTGTGTGTTGCATTAGTCAGCTTATGTTTGTTGACATTGATCTATGATTAGCCGTTTTATTCACCAGTCTCCTATCAGAATCTCGACAGTTCACACCCAACCGTCTTAGTCTTCCTTTGGAGTCCAATTATGTTATCGGTATATAATTTTTCGGTATCGTACTATCTATTTTTATGATTTAAAATTATTATTTTTAATGATTTAATTAATTATTTAAGTTATTACCTTCGTAGTCAACCACTATCCCTTCGTTTGCATCGGTGATAATTGTTGATTGTGACATGCAATGGACTCCATTTATTCTGGGTTTGAGACGTGTATATCTTGTTCCCTTCCGTTGGATTCAACCAACTAATTATTCGTAGCCGTTCATTATAATGACCATCTTTAGCCAATGCGGTCTTCAAGGAAAATTCAACCTGGTTCCTTTGGGTCTAATTCCATGACATTGGATTGGCATCACAACTTTAAAACTTCCATTATATATTCCTTGTCATGGTGGGACTATTGATAAATAAGCTTTACAGATATGGGAGTGTCTTTTCAGAAGATTAAAAAAAAAAGAATAAGAAAAAATGACTCAGGTCATTGAACATCCATGATGGACCATGGTTTAAAGATATAGAATCCACAAGAGATGCTGCCCTCCCTCCAATTTACTCAAGTTTCTCTAGAAAGTAAGACTATAATATTGAAGATTTATTTTTTCGTACCGTAATAAAGTCACACAAAAAATAATAGAATGAATGAGATTGTGTAGCATAGATTCTAAATATTAGGATCTATCTCGACTTTTTTAAGTCATAGCCTGGCTCCAAATGAATTATAACTAATCCCTATTAATTACTTAAAATTTTCAATACGATATTTTTTTTGTTATTGTAGTTTTACCTTTACGTACGTATATGGTAGATCATTCTTTGTGTATTTGTAGAAGAATCACTTGCATATAAACAGGTGAGTTTGAAAAAAAAAAAAAAAGAAAGTGTACTAGTTAAAATCCAAAATCCCAAATCCAATTGGGAAAATTGTATCATACTTTTTTTTTTTTTGACAGTAATTGTATCAGACTTGAGGCCCACTGTATGAGTGGATTTGTAAGCTGCTATGAGTGGATTTCAAGGCTATTGATATAAAAGAAAGAAATATGGGAACCCACAACAATGTGATCGTAGTAGTAGCTGGAGCATTAACCATGTTGGAAAAAGAAAATTCTAAAAGATGACTGAGGACAGGGAAAAAGCTAAGGATGTTACTAGCTGCCTGGGACAGTGAGGAGGCAACCTACTGCATTGACAACTAAGGACTAATCATTTGTGGTCCATGAAATAAATGAATGCGTGTAGTTGGGTTGGGTTGGGGGGGCTTTATTTAGCTATCTTTTATTATGGTCTATGTCTATTAATTTTGGATACCTATTTTTCTCCCTCATCCAATAAAAATGTGTAAAAACATTAGTTTATATTAATTTCACCAACCAATTGTTTTAAACAAATCAAACTATGATCTGTGACTGAAAATTATTTTTTAAGTATAATACTGCAAAATCATAACCTTATCACTTTGATTATATCTGAGTGTGTGTAAAGGGGCCAGTTGGAAAGATGGGGCATCCAACAGTGGATGCTCTAGATAATATTTGGCACTTTATTCTTATTTTTCTCATTGTCTTCATGTACCCTATGTTAACCCTAAGTTGTGCCTAAATTATTTCCTAAATACATTTCACTTTCCATAATATGGACATCACTGTATGAGAGTTTCAAGAATGTTGTTAATCTTAGTCCAAGGGTAGGAGATGTGGGATCACAGATGTATGAAATATTAGTCGAGTATTTTAAGAGATCGGGATATTTTCAATTTAAGAGGGTTAATGGTACATTAAACTATCTATAAATGAATAGTTGATAAAAGCTTAGAAGGTGAAAGGGTGTTCACCAAGCATCTTTTTCTTGGTGCTCATCTCTTCTTTTTGGTGCTCATCCACCACAAAGAAAAGAGCAAGTGCAATCATATCAGAAGAAAGCTGACATAACAAAATGCGTGGCTACTCCTTTAGTAGAGCTCAAGACAAGTACATTTCTTTCCTTCAAAGTTCATTAAGTCCAAAAATATAATTCTTAAATGGTAATAAAGACGAATATTAAATTCAAACATCTTAAATTAAAATCTTAATAATTCTTTGAAATTAAAGTATGATAGATTTATTTTTCATGAATATCTTAATTTCGGCGTGAATGACATATTTTTTACTAGACCTGGAAGAAGATTAGTCGAGGTACATGTAAACTGGTCTAGACTCTTTTAACCGTTAAACCATAAAAAAAAAGAAGTAAAAAATGACAAAAAAAAAAAAAAAAGTCTCAGCACATGAATTTTTTGTTACTGCAGAGTTTGAAAAAAGTTAAACCACATGCGAAAATGACTTGATTAATAGATTACACCTAATTTTTAAGAAAGTTTCAGTTTGATAACTATGTTTACCATTGAATTTATGAATCTGTTTGGTGTTAGTTGGATCAATGAAGACAACAAAAACCTTTTTTTACAAAGACACATCATCCAACCCTTATGAGTAATCCTACTCCAATCCAATGACCATTATGAAATGTCAACAACCATATAAAGAAGATCTAACAGTCAAACAAGATGCACCCACCCTTAGAATTTCTGTTTGTGTAGCACCATACACAACATGGGTTCGCAATAGTACCCAAAAGTTCAAAGTATCATCTTTATTATACTAATTTGACTTACGAGTATCCTCAAACTATACATGGTCGCCCTCTAAACTTTCAAAAGAGGATTCGAACAGCCGCGCTCCTTAGTACGAAATTGAGTCTTTGTGTGTACAACATTTCTCCACCAAGACAATCATGATGTATATATGTTCGTCCCTTATATTAATTTCTTAGATCTGTCCCCCCGCATAATATGTCTTACCAAGTGGATTATTTGATTATGGTATGATGCTATAATGATTTATAATGAGGACTTCTCTTTGGACTGAAACTTCACAATCATTTTTTTGTGACTATCTAGTGCTGCAACAAAGTGCACTATCTAGTGCTGGTCAGAAAATGATGTTGAGGACTTTTCTCCACATGCAGCCCAATCTTTATGAGAAAAACCATACCATGTCAAAACTGATTGAAGAAGCTATAGAGGGTATACCAGAATCTCAATTTCAGCTCTCTTTTCTGGCCTTGTACCATTATCATATATATAAAAAGAGGCAACTGTAGATGTAAGAAATAGCAGATAGTCGTTTTTGCACATTATAAACTATAGTTAGGTACATGAATGTTTTGAAAATAATGTTATGAATTAGCCCAGAATCCTTAGAAGTCGAATTTGAGATGTGATTAGTGATCAGTCATACAAGTGATACTTTGCAGTTTGCAGGTTCCATCTGAGAATCAGCCTCTCAAAAATGGAGGTAATATTACTTAAGTCTCTCAGACCCCCACTATATGCGACAGCCTTGTGCATTGTGTACATAATTATATTTTTGGTTCACCAAAATCGAACTTTTGATATATTTTAGTACGAGCATGTGTCAGAATAACTCGAGTGATCCAACTCTTTACAAAACATGTTATACAAAAAGTTCCCTCTGCCTTTTTGCCACCACAATAGAACTTATTCCCAGTGCTTTCTTGCAAAGTATTCCTAACCAGTAACAAAATGGACAAAACAAAACAAAAAGTTGAAGCATGATCTCTTCTTCTGAGCCTATTAGTAAAAGTAATCATGCCTGATGCACAATGTAATATTGAACAACAGGAATTGCAATTTGACTCATTGCTGGTTTGATATTGTAAAACAAATAAAATAACATCTGGAACTGCTCAGGCTAATATTTCCCTACTTCCGGCAATCCAAGTGGAACTTGACATAGTGATTCACCTCAGTTACCTTCACATGGTTCTTTCATCATGATTAGACTTGTCTCAATCAGTAACATCCATCTTATTATTTTCCCTGTTCCATCCAACCAGGTTCAAAGAGGGTTTCACATTTTCAAATCTGTTGACTTATCCTTCAGGCATTTGTTCACCTACTTTCTTTACGCAGCCAAAGCTTGTTGGTGTTTCATGATGTCCTCGAACTGTTTTTACCTCAACCTTAAATCACTGTTCCCAATCGACCATCTCTGGCAACTTTCCAGTTCTCTTCAACTTAAATCTACTAATGGAACATTGTTGTGAATTGAACAAAATTTCTGAATTCATCACCTTGGAACATATTCAATTGATCTCATTTGCATGACCAATAAAGCCAAAGTTGAATAAATTTCCTCAATTTGTGAGTGTGATCGGTCGTCAGCAACAAACACATGAAATTCTGTTCCAATTTGAATCCAACTTTGTCCAGGACTCTTCCAGAGTCCCTTTCCTTTCATTGCATCCCTCAATTGTGAAGCTTTATCCCACCTGCCTGCAGCTGCATGTGCATTTGAAAGAGCTACATAGTTTGCTGAATTATCTGGCTCCATTTTTATTAAATATCTAGCTAGATATTCTGCAAGTTCAACTTCATTATGTTCTCTATAAGCAGCAAGGAGCGATCCTAATAAATTTGCATCAGGCTCAAAAGGCATAGTTAAAATAAGCCAAATTGCTTCATGCAAATTACCACACCGAGAAAGAAGACTAACCATGGAACCATAATGTTGCAGACTTGGCTTCACATTGTATACAGAGACCATATCACCAAAGATGTCTAATCCTTCATTCACCAACCCAGTATGGTTGCATGATGACAAGACATTTGTGAAGGTTATGCTATCTGGTTTGATACCTTCGTTCTCTAGATGTTTAAACAGTGCAAGAGCTTCATCAGTGCAGCCATGCAATGCATAAGCAGAGATCATTGTATTGTACAATGGCAATTCCTTGGTTACAGTTGCATCAAACACCATTTTGGCTTGATGCATATTGCCGCATTTAGCATACATATCCAATAAAGAAGTTGCAACTGAAATGGACAAAGGAAGTTCTTGCCTCACAATATAGCCATGAATGATTCTTCCACACTGCAATGATGCAATACTTGTACAAGCTGAGAGAGCACCCACAATGCTTACAATGTTGGGTCGGATCCCTGCATTTAGCATTTGCTGAAATAGCATGATTGCCTCACTGCCAAATCCATTTTGAGCCAGACCAGTGACAAGAGTAGTATAAGTGATTAGGTTAGGCTCGACACCAAGGTATTGCATTTGTGAGAGCATATCTATGGCTTCATCGACCTGGCCATTTCTCAAAAATCCTAGAATCACAGAATTCCATGATATCACATTTGGCGGCACGCCCTCTAACTGCATCTGATAGAACAATTTCAAAGTCTCACCACTCAGACCCAATTCTGCGTAAGATCCCAAAAGTGTATTCCACAACACAAGATCTTTATGCATTGTGGAGTCAAAAACTAGTCTAGCATCAGCAATTCTTCCGCAGTTGGCATACATATCCACTATGGTACTCGCAACAACTACATCAGTTTCAAGATTGTTTCTGATACAATAACAGTGTCCCTTTTTGCCAAGTTGTATATCACTTGTATCAGCTGAAGCAGATACTATCGACGCAAGAGTAACGGAATCAAACCTAAAGCCTTCTAATCTCATAAGACGGCACAAATTGAGTGCATTCTCAATCTGACCATGTTGCATATAACAGGATATTAATAAATTCCATGTCACCACATCTTTATCAACCATCCTACTAAAGACTAGCTCAGCATCCTGAACCAAACCAACCTTTGAATAAAAATTTATAATGGCACTACCCAAAATGTCATTTAAGTTTAACCCAATCACAATAGAAAGTGCATGACCTTGCTTACCGTCTTTAACAGCACGCAAATTGGCTGCAGCCGAAAGTAAACTCACCAGCGTGACATGACTCGGTTCGATTCCTTCCATTCTCATATGATAAAAGACAGTGATCGCGTCCTCATTCATCCCATTTTTCACATGACTAGCGATCATTGAATTCCAAGCAACCACATTTCTGTCAACCATATTATCAAACACCTCCCTAGCATCACGCAGGACTCCACATTTTCCATACATATCCACAAGACTACTTGCAACAAAATCACAATCTTCAAAACCCAATTTCACCACATACCCATGGACTCCTTTGCCAAAACCAAGGTACTGTAAAGAACCACAAGCTTTCAACACATTTGGCACAACAAAATTATCAGCCAAAACTCCATTTTCTATCATTTCACAGAAACCCAACAAAGCCTCTTCACAGAGATCCATTCTACTATACAGTCCAGTAATGGCAGCCCAAGAAAACGCATTCTGTGTCCTGAGTCTGCGAAACAAATGGATTGCCACATCGAAGACATCGCATTTTGCATAGAAAATCACCAGTTTTGTCTCAATATACTCATTTTTGGCAATGCATTCCCCATTTTTTATTATTTTTGCATGAAATTGCTGACCCAATAAGAGGTTTCGCTCGTATACACAGCCCTGAAGTAGTTCACCGTAGAATTGAGGTCCAATGGGGAGATTTTCGTACTCCATGTCAGAGAGATGGTCCACAGCTTCTTGAATTTGGCCATCTTTGCACAAAGAAGAAATGTGTTTGAAGTAAGAACTGAATAGTGTTTGGTGGCTTTTATCACTTTCTTGAAGTTTTATGAGATTGGTTTGGGTGAATTTTGAAGATCCTATGGGTTTAGGCTGAGGGACATGTAGCTTTGGTGTGGTGACAATGGGAAGGGAAGCCATGCATGGTAGAGAAGAGTACTAAGATATGGTGGTCATAATGGCCATACAATAATGATAAGGGTATTTTTGCCATAATGAAGATCCCACAGATAAATTAAGAGCTCTTTTCCAACCCTATGAATCAAAAGGGTGGCACTATGCCGGAAACTGGTCTTTCGTCCCATGATAGTCCTTATTCCGCTGTGAAAGTTTTACTTTTAAGGTCGGAGTTTAAGTTTTTTGAACCGACAAAAGACACCGTTAGTTGATAGGATGAATCTCATTTGTTTTGATAAATTATATCTAAATTTTTAGTGTAGATTCAAATTTCAATCGAAGCACAAGTTTTGATTTAACTAATGTATGAGTTGAAGGACATATTTATACACCCAATTTAACTCACAAGTTTAAGCAACATAAGTGTCCTTCTTCTCGTCGAAAAAAAGTCAAATATTTCCCCCATTACTCAAAAACAAAAAATATGCAGGCCAGCCCAGCCCAGTGAGTCTGGCTTTCTTTACAATTAGAAGATCATTAATAAATTGTAATTGGAAATAAGTCATCAAAAGTGAATGACCCCCAAATTTTCCTAAATTATGTAATAGTTTTGAATTTTTGATGGACCATATAGGTGGATGGAACGTCCTAGATAAGGCATTCAGGCCTAGTTGTGCCAAAAAGGCATCTCACGATCAAACTCATGAGTTACCGGACTGCCCATCGGGCCAGATTATAGGTTAGGGCCCACTGGAGTTCCAGGCAGGGCCATGAACAGTGGCAGTTAGCCCATGGTGTATATTATCATGCTGTGTACCGAACCTGAGACCTTAGCTTTTGGCCAGTCTTATTTCTTAAAAGAGTAACTTCTTTGTCGAAGTGATAGAGTGAAGCAATGTAGCTACTGCTTTGCCAGTAACCTGATCCTCCAAGACAAATATAATTCTTCATATCATGGGACCTTTTGGCATAGCAATTCTTGGGCTTCCATTTTATAGTAACAATTTTAGTGAATCATACAATCACAACCCAAGACCCTATTATGGCGGAAGTCTTGTGAACTAAATACGCCCTTTATATAATCACAACCTAAGAAATTGGAACTGGGATTGTGGTTAGTGTTCATCTGTTCACAAAGCGATCCATTGTGAAACCTCGTGCCATTGTTTTTTGTTGATACAATCACAAACCAGAGAGAGTAACTGGCTAAGTTATAAGAGATCAGAGGCAAGAGAGAGAACTCGCAGAATACTTGACCCAAACCAGTTCAAGATTGTGCTTTCAGCTTTTTCTGATGAGATCAATCCGAAAGCAGCCTTCCATACAAATTAGGCTTGAGGTTCAAATCCTCATGCACCTCCAGCTTCTTTGTCTGCCTCCATTCCTGATAGTCACAACTCTGCTGAATGTATACTATTACAGCTAATTCAAGTATCATTAGCGGCAATGGTAATGTTACCAAGCTAGGAGTAAAATTCCAAACCCATGTACTGAAATTCATTGTCCCCGTGATCACGACTGGGAACCGGATCTCTTGCATAGTCGTAAGCATGCAACAAGACTCTGACCATTGTGAAGCCAAGGTAGTAGAATTTGCTGAGAGGCTTGCCTTGGATGTGCCACAAGGCATTACCAATAATTTGTGGAAGCAAGAAAAAATCTTGAACTAGACCAGCATAATTCTCCAACTCTCCCCACCATTTCAGAAAATTCTTCATATAACCCCTTCCATACATATAGTTTCCTGACTGAAGCGGTGGAAAACCGTTGCGAATGCAGTGACAAATGGAAAATACAATGATATGAATGAACAAAGTGATTAAGAAAACTATTTTATCACTTGGCATTTGGGGTTTCAGTTTTTTATCATGATCAAGCTGTCTGCTACGAGATTCCCAGATTTTCTGCAAAAGCTTTGTCGTAAGCAGTAATGCAACCAGCAGAAGAATTTTGATAGAACAGTCGAGTACCTGAAACCGTTGAAACTTTCCAAAATCATATGTCTGAGAATTGTTGGGGGAGAGCTCCTTCCACCTGAACAGAACTTCATCACCAGTGATCAATGGAATGCCATAGCCAAGAGAATGGATGCCAACCATGACTAGAGACATATAAGCTGTGGAATGTCCCTCATTTTCAGAGTGTCTTGATTGGCTTAGGGTACAGAGAATTGCCACTGTGATCATCAAAACCCGAATCACCGTCTCAAAACTTTTCCTAAAAATTACATAATCCAACTTCTTCTGATAAGAAAGCAAAAAGGTATCAAGGCTGGTTGGGATACGATGGAGGGGATCTTCCTTACTCCTTTTGCTGTTGATGGAGAATTTGATCTTCGTATTCTGTAGCCACCGTGCATTTCTGGAAGGATACTGTACTCTGACTTCATCTAGAGAATCCATTCCTCCTTCAAGGTTTGTGCCATTAAGGATGGAGTTTTGAAAGGCTCGGACATCCCTGCAACCTATCATGTACATCTGTCCAACAACTGGGTCATATAACCCTTCAAAGAACAGTGAAAGATTGTGGAATTGCTCTCCGGTAATGCTGAGATGCCCTGAAATTTCAATTGGTTCAGCAATAGGATGGAATGGTTGATCATATTCTACTTTCTCTTGATGTGACCGTGGCCAGTAGCGCCCAAACAATGAACCCATGGAGAGTACTACAATGTCAACATAAACCTTGGGTGGTAGGGGGTTTTGAAGTGTCTTTGGAACAGCACAAGCCTTAAGACAGAGCACATCGGATAGGAAAGAGAAACCTGCTATGCCATCACTTTTTGATGATGGATACCAAAGAAATGACTTTCTCATAATAGTTCCTAATTTGGAGGGCTTGCTTCTCTCCTGAAAGTCCCTTGCTTGCATAATCTTTGAGTAGTTGTACGACCATTTTAAGTGCCTGTTAAACTGATACCTATCCAAAAGATTTTTGGACAGCGTCTCCTTTTCAAACATGAGATAAGCATGCATTTCCTGTTCATTGATGCTGGATATGGTCCCAAAAATCATAGTTTGCTGCTTAACCGAGAAATTCAGAGGGAAATATAGGCAAATTCGAGATTTGCATCTGTCTGAAGAGCACCAACAAGACCAAGACAACCAACCATGCAGAGCTGCCCATGAGAAGAATGCCATACTCCCTCGGCAGAAAGTGTGGTGCTGGAGAGACCTGTTCTCTCCTCTTCTCTTTGCCTATATTCTGATGACCTGATTACACGAAATACAGCTGATACCCGTGCAGTTTTAATCTCACTCTGATTATTTCCAGGCTCACACTGCAAGTTCTGAACCATTAGCCTGAAATTGTCTAGGTAGCCATCTGTGGCCTCAATCTTCCAACCAAGAGCAAAAGGGCCAAGCTTACTGTGATCATTGTTTGTGCCGATGTGTTTCCAATTGGACACAAATCTAAAAATTTCACTCCACAAGAATTCTCGAAGCTTTTCACAATATTCATCTCCTTTAAACATCTTGATCTCTTCATCAACGAAATTGTCGGGGTAAGGATATTGACTGCAGGCTTTTGACAGAAGTTCATCAGACCTAAACTGGTATCTAGAGTAGCACCCCAACTGAGAATATATGTGGACTCTATCAAAGTATGTGAGCTGCCACTTTTGCTTCAAACTTTTCATCTCTCCACTAATACCTCTAGTGGTCAAAGTAAAGGTTTTTGGGTACCGCAGAATGAGCATTATCTGATCATCTTGTTCAAGGGGAGACTGCTTCTTATAGTTATAGCTGTGTTGATTGTCATATTCCCATGAATCAACATGTTGACTTGTTATAGGTATTGTTGAACTCCCCAATAAACACATCAAGAGCTGTCCTTGATTATCCTTGGACTCTACATATATCCCTTCAAAGAGAATGCTCAGCCTTGACATCCCTTGTTCCATATGAAATCCTGGAGACCAGTCATAAGGCTTGTAGGAGAATGAGGTACGTCTAGTTATGCCAATCTCCAACTCTGCACTGACACTAACCGTGTTTTTTACCCGGCGAACTGGATCAACATCCATCACCCAGAAAGAGACTAATTTCATGGGAGCCCCATAGCCAAAATAATTGCTTGGCTGGTCACGATTGTCGAATGGCATCAATGGAGCCCCACCAGAGTCCTGAGCCCAATCTCCATTCAAGAAGAACAGCTCTTTCTTCATCTTTTCGCCTCTGTTATCATCAGGTACCAACTCAGAAGCAGATGACATGATGAAACCACAATGGTTTTCAATCTCGGCAAAGCGATTGTAAGTGAATGTTATTGAAGGATTATCAGGAGTTTCCAAAGTTTCAAATTGTGGGTATGAAGCAATGAAGCAAAAGATGAAAGCTGGCCACCAAGTTATCCACCGATAAAGCTTTAGAGATTGAATTTCCATCGCAGAAGTGGACCTCAATCCCCTGACAAAATCTTTGAAAATGAGCTTTTAGAGTGATGGATCAGCACCTATAAGGAAGAAAGCATTGACATTAAGGAAACAACAAAAAATCAACTGTGAGCTTCAATGATGTTCCTGTGAATTAAGTAACATGATATTTTTCAAGAAAAAACCACGGAGACTCGGATATGATTACTAAATCTGTAAACCTCAACCTCTGCTGACCTTAATGCTAACCTAAAGCAAATCTTCGGTTTCTTGAACAAAACTTCGATTGAAAGGGTGGGAAGAATTTGTTATCCTCTGGAACAGTTTTATAGTCCTACATCAATCACAGTTGCAAAAGCAAATAACATGTAAGCAAAATTGATAGACCTTAAACCACAAAAAGAAAAAGAAAAACAAAGAATTAACGGACCAAGTCTCATGTTTGACTTTAACATAGGAGAACATGCATGAATCCTAGATCTGTTTAGATGTCAAGATTAGAAAGATGGTTTTAAATTTAATATATTAGGATCACATGGATGTGAATCACTTGTTCAACACTGTCATTCTAGTGATTATGAGATCAACTTGAGTAAGTTCTTTTTACTATTCTCTTTATTCTCAAAGATCTACCACTATACATATTTGTATGTGCGGAACTACTGCTGTTAAACTAATGAAAGTATTGGTACCAGTGGCCCTTAAAATATCGTTTGTTATTAATAACTTGGATTCCTTTAGCCCTAATATTTTTTACCATTTAAATCATTCATGATGGAGTGGACACTACACACAGCAAAATTTGGAATCAATGGTCATCAAAGACTTGTATAATGAAAAAATATCTGATTATTTTCAACGAAACATCTGCGGCTCTGAATTCCAACCATAGTGAGTGCATGAGTTTGCCTTTCTCTTTATAATCTCTCTTTAGCTTTCTTAAAGAGTGATTAGAGCTTTCCATGGGATGGGCCAATTAGCGATGGCCCGAAGCCTGACCGTGGGAAAGTGCAATGGGCCAGCCTGGTCTGCTGCGTGGCCATTCCAGGCCATGAGATGGGTCTGGGCATGGCTATGACCCATGGGCCAGCCTGCAGTCCGCCAAAATACTTGGAAAAGGGTAAATTGTAAGGGGTACACTAAATTAGACTTATTTGATAAAAATTACACACTAAAAAAAGTAAGGTTATTAAGTACTTAATTTTGATACTTATTTGTATTCAGGTACATAATTTGAATTTATCTATTTTTATTGTGACATTTTTGTCCTCCATTAATTCATGTGTATTTAATGCACCACTTTTCTTTGGAAAGTGGTGCATTAAACATCTCCTAATTTTATGAGACAACTTTAATATATATATATATAAATACTTATGTATGTATATACTTGTTATTAAATCTCTTATCTAAATTTTGAATTATCTTTTAATGCACCTTGATTCATGCAATTTTTTTTTAGAAAGTGATTTTATTTTCAAATTAATTTAATATCCGAATAGTGTAATAGTGTAACAATAAAAGTATAACAGTGTAACACTAACAATATAACAAATACATATGAATTAAGGTGCATTAAATACGTATTTATATATATTAACAAACACATATGAATCAACGTGCATTAAAGATAAGAGATTTTGAATTAAATGACCCTAAAATGGGCATTTATGTATTTTTAACTCATATTTTGTTCTATGTACTTTTTGCCAAATAAGTCTAATTAGGTGTACCAATTTTTAAAAAAGCAATAATGAAAAGCATAACGATTCGTCCAGGCCTATGCCATGGTCCATCCTATAGCTCATACACGAGCTACAAGACAGGCGTTGGTTAAGTGCCAAAGCCACAGCCCGGAGTCCCGGACATTCCATGGGCAGGCCATGGCCCAAGGTCAGCCCGGCTGCGCCCGACCCTATGGACAGTCCAAAGTCTGACCACGGGAAAGTGCAATGAACCAGCCTGATCTGTAGCATGGCCATTCCCGGCCATAAGATAGGTCTGGGCATGGCTAAGATCCACGGGCCAACCTGTGGCCTGCCAAAAATACTTAAAAAAAGTTATATTGAATAGGCCTACGATTCGTTTAGGCCCATGGGCAGGCCATGGCCCAAGGTCAGCCTGGCTTTGCCCGAACCCATGGACGGCCCCAAGGGAAATGGTTAGACGATATATAAAATTTCATAGAAGGAATTTCCAGGGACTATTCCGGACATGATGCAATTTTTGAAGATTAGGCAACCTGATGCTTTCTTTCCCTTTGTTGTTCTTGACTATTTATCTACAGAATTGCATTGTGTGCATACGTCACTGATACAATAAACAGAGAAGGCTAAGAATAAGGAGACTGTATACAAAATCTTTATAGTAAAGATAGCACACACATCATGTATTCGATCCCTGAAGCAAACACTAGATTGTCAGGGACACAATAAGACTTCATATAACAATCAGCTTAACTGCTTAATTCAACAAAGGCCCAGCAACAATTTGATATAAGCAATACCACATACAAAGAAAAGTAAAATTATCTGAAGATCCTTTTGAGGATGTTACGGCCACAATAAATTATTCCCACATATGCACCTAAAGGTCAGTGATCTTAAAATAAAAACATTCAATAACAGAAAGCAATAGAATCTCTGAGTCAGGTTTAAAGCGATTTTGAAAGGAACTTCTCATGCAATTTGGAATTGGAAGGCAGAAACTTAGATGTCCTGGACTTAGGTGACTGGCTAAGTCTCTGGTGGTTCTGATTCTGCTGAAAGTGGACTATAATTGCTAGTACAATTATAGTTAGTTCCCATAACTGCAACATTGGCGCACTTGGCAGTGAAACCCGAGTTAAGGTTCACAAATGTATCCAGGTAGGGGTCTGTCACTGGATCTCTTATGGAATCATACACATGTAAAAGAAGCCTTACCAAAGTGAATCCAATGTAGTAAGATTTCGTAAGGGGTTTAGTATGTGTCTGCCAAAGCAAGTTGCCGATGATTTGGGGAAGCAAAAAGAAATTCTGACTAACGTCTATACATTCTTTCAGTGTGTTCATCCAGATTCCCTCCATATGAATATCTCCAACTTTATGTTTATCCCTTTCAGGCTCAAAGAGTTTGCCCTGAACGAGAAGAAAACTAAAACATCCAAAGATGTAAATTGCCATGGTAATTAGGAGAACTGGCTTATCACAAGGGACAGGTGGAAATTTGGTAATCGAATGATTAATTGGTCTACTTCGAGATTCTGACACCTTCTGGAAAATTCTTGCAGTAAGTAGCAAGGCAGCCAACACAAGGAGTTTTCCGGAGTAATCAAGGACCTCCAATACTTCCTCATACCCATAAAGATTATGAATTGCGTTCCTGTATTCCTTCGGTGGGAAAAGAATTTTGGAATCACTGATCAGTGGAAGGCTATATCCAAGAGTTTGAAGAGTGAGCATTACAAGAGATATATAAGGAATGGCATCCATATCTTTCTTCGCGTAGAAGAGTTGACTCAAAATGAATGCAATTGCAACTAAGAGCATAACATTCCTGAGAATTTCTTCAAAAGCTCTCCGGAAGACTCCATTTTGTTCATACTTGTCATATGGAAGCATGAAGGTGCGCAGGTTTATTGCGGTAAAATGGAGGGGGTCATCTTCATTCCTTTGGCTGGTGATAGTGATTGTTGCAGTCGGATTCATTAGCCACCTCATAGTTTCAGCTGGGTACTCAATCTTCACCCTGATCAAACAATCCATGCCTCTCTCACTAGTAGTACTGCCAACTGTAACCTTCCTGCAACCAATTAAATACAAGCAGTGGGTCATATGGACCCTCCAGAAATAATGTTGATATGTTTTTATAGAATTTGTCCACCAAGCTCAGTTGTTTATCTTTGAACATTAGATGCAGTGAAACATTAAGGACCTCAAACCTAGTGATTTCAGGTTGCGCATTAATAGGATAACTATCCCTATGCAGCCATGGTTCATACCGTCCAAATAAAGGACCTAACGTGAGCACCTCAACTTGGACAAAAATCTCTGGTCTGTGGTCATCATATGGTGGATTGGGAACTGCATAGGCAGAAATACGGAGACCATAAGAGAGATGATCTAAGCAGGAAAATAAGTCTTCTCCATCTTGCAGAGCTGGATATGTCAGGAGCAATTGCTTGGCAGCAATCATTAGTTTAGATGGCTGGCTTCTCCTCTTGAAAGCACCAGCCAGGTCAGTCTTTGAGTAATTGTATGCTAGGTAAGACCTAGAATACCAGCCATAGTTATATAGATCTGAGGGATGCATTTTTAATCCAAAGATTATAGGAACACCTGCATCTGTTTCGTTTGTGTTGCTGGATATGCTTCCAATAATGATAGTCCTCTGGCTGCTGGAAAAGGAACGAGGAAAGTACAATGATATCTGAGAATGACATTCTTCCAATCCCGAATTAACAACTCCAAGACACCCAACCATGCAAAGCTTCCCAATGGAGGAATTCCAGATTCCCTCAACAGACAGTGTAAAGCCAGAAAGGCCGGTTCTCATTCTTGCTTTATCACATTCCAGTGCTGCCGAATCTGGCTCCATTGATCCAGAAAATAATCTGAACACTGCAGAAACCCTGGCATTGTGAGTCGCATTTTGAGTAGTTTCTGGCTCACATATGATTCTTTGTATAATGAGCCAAAAGTTATAATAACTCCAGTCAACAACCTTAAGTTCACTTCCAAGACGGAAAGGGCCCAACCTACTGTGGAATTCATATCTGCTGCTGAATTTCCAATGTGGCTCAACATGGTAAACTTCATTTGAAAAACTCCTTAGGACCTTACAAAACTCAGTGCCATTAAACTTGTTGACACCATCTTCCACCAATTCATCTTGATATATATATGAATCACAAGTCTTGTCTTGATCTTTTCAGAACTAAATTGATATTTCAAGTAACGACCAAACTGAGAAGATATGTGAACATTATCAAAGTATCTAAAACTTCTTGGTTCATTCAAACTTTTCATCTCCCCCAAGATTGCTCTTTTAGTCAAATTGAAAGTTTGGGGGTATCGAATAACCAGCAAAATCCTATCATCTTGCAAGAGATGAGGCTGAAGATTGCTCAAAGTACTCACATTGCTTATCATATCCGAGGGATCATCAATCCATTTCCAAAGTGGCAGAGTGGTATCACCCAACATACAAACAAAGCGTTCCCCTCTGCTCGCTTCAGTTTCGATGTAAACTCCTTCAAATGCAATTTTGAGGACAGACATACCGGGCCTCATGTAGAACTTCGAGTATGCACCATAAATCAATGAGCTATTTCTAGACAAGCCAATACACATAGTTCCTCGGAGACTAACTGCATTTTCAAACAGATGGACAGGATTGACATCTTTCACCTCAAACCCAACCAAACTTAGGGGAGAGGTGAGAGATGAACCATCCATTGGAATGTCACTGTCATCAAACGGCATTAATGGTGCTCCACCAATCTCCTGCTCCCAATCTCCCTCAAAGAAAGATAGCTCATTCTTAAGCCTATAGCCTCTACTGTCATCGGGTTTCACCTCGGAAGCTGAAGATAGAAAAGGGCTGCATTCCTTTTCAATCTCAGCAAATCGATTGTATGTGTAGATTACTGAAAGGTCATCAAAGTATACAGAATTCTCCATAGATGTTGTGAAGGTGAATAGGAAAAAGAACTCTAGCAGGGTACAAAGACCGAGAACTATTGGTTGAATCTTCATTGTGGGATACAAGTTTTCTCTAGTGAGGTCTTGCACTTGACAACCCACAAATTGAAATTAGATTTCTTTAAGACCCACACAATGTGAAACCCAGAAAAAAATATGGGTATGCCGATTCAAAGGTTACATACTGAAATACAATGGCAAGAGTTTAGAAGATGATTTGAACAATATTTCAAATCTTACTCTTTATTACTTCGAAGGTCAACCCAGAGCGTTCCTTTTTTCTTGTTTAAGGGGGACTTTGATCAGTGAGGTTGGATGTTCATAATTTGAAATCTGAAAAACAAGTTGACATTGAATACTAACCTGAAGAAGAGTTGTTGCACCAGTTAAAGTTCAGGAGTGAGACGATGGAGATTGCTTCTAGATTTCAGAAAAGAGAAGAAAGTGAAGAACATGAAGCTTTTGCAATGCACAGGTTTGACCGCCAAAAATATAACAACAGAAGGGTCAAAAAGGAAAGGGAAAAAAGGAGTACACACAGTAACAGTCCAACCGAGCTGGTAGATCTCGATTCGGATTCAGATTGATTTGGATTCGTTCGGATTCAACTTATTTTTTAAATAAATTAAATTTAAATATTTTTTTCAATTCATTTAAAAAACTATTTCGATTCAAATTCGATAGATTTGACTCCTTTATTTATAAATATTTGAACTCAGTTCAAATTCGACTTGTTTTGGTTCGTTCAAATTCTTGAATAATTTTTTAGACCCGCTTAAAAAAAAGAGTTTGACAAGCTTGACTCGAGCTCTTTTGAACTCTACTTTCTTGATATTAAAATTGAAAAAGTAATCCTGTTTGGTGACCCTTTAACCCGACCTAATACTCTTTTTTATACTGTATAACAAGCATCCTCACACAATTTGACTAAATCATTTAAAGAGGTCTCCAATAAGTTCGAATCATCCTCAAATTATGACTTAAATTTCTTGTCATTGATAACTTTCTTTGATGTAACGGGATCTCGTGTCAGAGAAGAGAATCCCCTAGGCATTATGATTTGTCCGACTTGGTCAGCCAATGAACTTTTTGCATACCCTTAATCATTGTGCTTGGTGATATTGTGAGGTGTTTTATAATTTGAATCTTTGATTTTTATTGTACAAAACGTTATGGAGTAGTATTGACCTAATTAAAAATAAAAAAATTCTAAACCGTTACGAAACTAACGGCAGTCGAAAATGTAGACCGAGCCCGGTGATAAGAGAAATACTTGGTCACATACTAAAAAAGAGTAGATGATCAGAAGAACTAATTGCCTTATTTCTTTGTGATCTTGATAGTGGTATATGCATATAGGAGCCTACAGCCTAAGAATTCACTATCCTAATCACCTGCAAATGCAATATTCTTGATAACACTAATATCAAATCACATGGAAGAGAGGTCGGCATTAGCAAATAGATAAACCATCTCTCAGTATGCAAGGATACCATCGTGTATATCCGACTTTCTCCATACCCACGACAAGGAGGGGTTTCGTACACGTTCCCTTCCAAGTCTTGTTGGATTCAATATATCCCTATAGGGAGGATTGTAAGGTTGAATATCCCTGGTTTTATATTAAACTTCGGATACTATTCAAGCTCGACAACTCACGAGAAGCAAAATGAAATCAAGATTTGGGCGAAAAAGAAGCAATGCTATGGATACCATGCCTGTTCAACATCATAAGGCTTTTGGGAGAATAGCTACTACTAGTATTCAAGGAAACTTACACAGCTTTGTGGCTGCATTGGTGGTGGTAGATACGTTGGACTATACATAGTTGGGAGAAACAGGGGGGAAAACTAGCCCTCTTTCCGTCTCTATCAGCAAAAGAGAGTCAATTCTTAACTTATCATTGATACTAAGACAGACATTTTACGCGGGGAAACAAGTAGAAGCAAACTTCATAATAATAAATTTCCAGTGCGATGGTGTTGAGTTGCAACCATCCATGAAAGGCAGCTATCTCAAAGACAACTGATCAAAGGATACTAGACATGACTATGCAGTTTTTCAAAACAATCACAGTGGACAACATGGAGAATATGGGTAGTAATAAGCTATAAATATGAAGCAGTATATTCAGTTTCCCTCTACTAGGCAATACAAATTCAAGTTGAAGGCCAGTGTTTTGGCTTGTGATTAACAAAAACAATAGGACAATAGATTGAGAAAGCAAAAATAAGTATACATGATTAGAGCAAAACATGAAAAAACTAGATATAGCAGATAGTTATAGTGGTCCTGATTCATATGTTCTATTTTTCGGTTAATATCAACACTATCAGACTCAGTACCCTACTTCAAAATCTATTGGCAAATAGGAAATGTACTGTAAAAACTATAGTCATTTGAACATTAATTCAAGGAGTTCGAATCTGCCATACATTATTCTGCATAATCTACAAAAATATTGGCGATTAGAAAAAGACTAAACCACAAAGTGACAGGCATTTTGATCTTACTCTTCCATGTCACGCTTCGGGTGAGATAGGCTACAATTCGTAGCATAATCATGGTTTCCGCAACTTAAATGAAACTACACAGTGTAGTGATCAATAATAGGATATCTGATATTGTCATAAATAAACAAAAGAAGAGCTATCAAAATGAAACCATTGACATAGCTCCTTCTTAGGGGTTTAAAACGGGTTTTCCACAAGCAGTTGCCAATGACTTGAGAAAGCAAAAAGAGACCTTGAGCCAGACGAACATTATCCCCAATTCTGGACCTCCAAATTAGCAGCATATCTACAGCTCCTCTTGTAGAGGTATGTTTTTCAAGTTGTAACAATGTCCCCTCATTGAATAGATTAATTGAGACCAAAATAGCATGAAAAGCAAAGGAGGTTAGGAGAACTTTCTTATCACTTGGTAGGTTTCCAGATTTGGAAGATCATTGTGCACGCAGTAGATTTCGACTTTCTGATACCAACTTCATCATCCTGGCAGTGAGTAGCAAGGCAACTAGCACAAGCAGTTTGCTAGTGTAATCAAGGCCTTTTAGCAAGAGTTGATACTAATGCAGATGATAAGGTCGGGCTCTGTAAGATTCAGATTCCTTTGTTTTGAACAGGATCTCTGCATTGGTGATGATCGGAAGACTGTATTCAAAAACCTGGAGTCCAAGCATGACAAGAGATACATAAGGAATGACTTATGGATTTTCCTTCATGTAGAAGAATTGGCTCAATATGATTGCAATTGATGCTGACAGTAGTAGAACTCGAAAAACTCCTTCAAAAACTTTCCAAAATATTACATCTTGTTCATGCTTTCTATACCCAATGGTTAAAGTTTGGAGGCTTATAGGGCTGAAATGGAGGGGATCATCTTCATTCCTTTGGCTGCTGATGGTGATCTTTCCAGTTGGATGTCTCAACCATCTTGTAGTTTCAGGGGGGTAGTCAATTTTCACTTCAATCGAACAATCTATCTCTCAGTGTTTGTACTCTCAACAACGATATTACTGCAGCCAATTAAATACATCACACCAACAAGGGGGTCGTACAGACCCTCCAGGAACAACCTTGATATCTTTTTATAGGCGCCACTGTGAATACATGGGGTGTTTCTCTGATCATGAGATGTATTGAAACATTAGGACCTTAGAATTGGTGAGTTCAGTTTGAGCACCAATTGGATGACTAATTTTACTTCTAAGTGAAGGACCTAATGAAAGAATCTCAATTTGAACAAAGATCTCTGGATACTCTCCATTGCTTAAGGGATCATGGACTCCATAGTTATCAATATATAGATCACTAGAGTGTAGATTTAAACATTGATAAGGCTCTCCTTTATCTTCAAGAGCTCAATATGTCAGGACCCATTGCCTGATAGCAATCATCAATTTTGATGGCTGGCTTCTCTTCCTGAATGCACTAGCCAGGTCAATCTTTTAGTAATTGTATGTTAGATAAGGTGTCTCATACCAACCACAGTCATCAAGGGGATTTGAGGGACTTGTTACCAACCCAAACAGTACAAGGATGAAGAAATGAATCCCATATGTAATGCTAGATATGCTCCCAAAAATTACACCTCTTTGCCTGATGAAAAAGGAACGAGGAAAGTATACTAAGATCTGAGAATTGCATCCTCCCAATCCGGAATTAACAATTCCTGGACACTCAACCATGCAAAGATGCCCTGTGGAGGAATTCCAAATTCCCTCAACAGATAGTGTCAGGCCCGAGAGACCAGTCCTCCGTGCTGCCTCATATTTTTCCATGGAGGAAGAAAATACTCTAAATACTGCAGAAACCATTGCGTTTTTGTTCTCATTTTGAGTTGTTTCCGGTTCACACAAGACATTCTGCATAATGAGCCTAACACTGTCATAACTCCAATCAGAAGCCTTAATCTCCCGCTCAAGCAAGAAGGGCCCAACCTGCTAAGGTCGTCATTTCCACTACCGAATCTCCACTGTGGCGCAACGTCATAAACTTCATTTGCAAGATGCCGTAGGACCTTACAAAACTCAGGACCATCAAACATCTTCACACCATCTTCCACCATTTCTTTTTGCAGTGGAGATGGATTACAAGTTCTTGATTTGAGCTCTTCAGGACTAAACAGATATTTTGTCTGAGGACTCAACTGAGAAGAAATGTGAAGTTTGTCAAAATACTTGGAGCATTCTTGCCCATTCAAGCTTCTCATTTCCTCTGATTGCTCGTTTTGTCAAATTGAATATTTGAGGATACCAAAAACAAGCAGAATCTCGTGGTAGTAAGTGCCACCAAAAGTGTTTGTCAGGTCTGAGAAATAATCATCATAATTCCCAATTGGCAAAGTTGAATTTCCTAACAAACAAGTCAGGTGTTGCCCGCCATTTTCTTCGATTTCCATATAAACTCCTTGAAAATTAATTTGGAGAGCAGACATATAAGGACTCATCTGAAACTTTGCATACGATTCAGGCAAAAATGAGCCATTTCTAGATATGCCAACTGACAAAACTCCATTGAGACTAACTGTGTTTTTGAACTGATACACTGAATTCACATCATTCACCTCAAAGCTAACCAGTTTCCTGAGAGAGGTCAGAGATACACTGTCTCTCGGCATATCACTATTATCAAATGGCATCAATGGTGCACCACCAATCTCCTGTTCCCAATCTCCATCGAAGAAGGAGAGCTCATTCTTAAGTCTATAACCTCTACTATCATCAGGTTTCAACTCAGAAGCTGAGGATAGAAAAGAACTGCATTGCTTTTCAATCTCCACAAATCGATTGTAAGTATAAACTACAGAAGGTTCATTAGGAAATACAAACTCTTCACCAGAAACTGCCCAGGAAAATCCGAACAACTCTAGCAGTGTCCAAAGACTAATAATCAAACATTGGGTCTTCATAACACTATATTTCAAATACAAATCCTTAATTCTATAACAGTAAAGTTGGGCTAAAAGCAGCAAATGTAACACAACTTTTTACATTTGTAAGTGTGGAAATTCTAAGAAGTCAATGCTGGAAGACTAACCTGATAAAGGGGCGTCGTTAGATTCTATGATTTCTACCTCTACAATACTGGTTCTGAGATGGATTGACTTCTAGCAAGAGAACAAGATGAAAACAGCATGAAACTATTGAAAGCAAAGGATTGACCAAAATATTTAAAAAATAAAGTGGGAGAAAAAAAATATAAAAAAAAAAAGAAACTAGGGGGAAGACAGCCATTATGACAATCACACCATTATAGGAATGGTTGTAAACAGTGGAATTTTGGACACAAATACACTTTAGTGGTTTAATTTTCAGCATTACACATAAGAATTTGATATTAAATTAGCTGGTGACATAAATCCACACTAAATTATGGTGTTGGAGTTGGCCATTTTGAGGATAGAAGATGAATTTGATTGAGAGAACAATAGGTTGTAAATCATAATTCTTATATTTTATTCGAGTTATACGTGTTAACCATGTTGGACCAAAACAGTTTTTTGAGTGTAAAAACTGAGTTTTTGGTTGACTTTGAGCCTAAATTAAAATGGGACCCGATTGTTATTTTAAATAACATTTCGTNACTCATCTGAAACTTTGCATACGATTCAGGCAAAAATGAGCCATTTCTAGATATGCCAACTGACAAAACTCCATTGAGACTAACTGTGTTTTTGAACTGATACACTGAATTCACATCATTCACCTCAAAGCTAACCAGTTTCCTGAGAGAGGTCAGAGATACACTGTCTCTCGGCATATCACTATTATCAAATGGCATCAATGGTGCACCACCAATCTCCTGTTCCCAATCTCCATCGAAGAAGGAGAGCTCATTCTTAAGTCTATAACCTCTACTATCATCAGGTTTCAACTCAGAAGCTGAGGATAGAAAAGAACTGCATTGCTTTTCAATCTCCACAAATCGATTGTAAGTATAAACTACAGAAGGTTCATTAGGAAATACAAACTCTTCACCAGAAACTGCCCAGGAAAATCCGAACAACTCTAGCAGTGTCCAAAGACTAATAATCAAACATTGGGTCTTCATAACACTATATTTCAAATACAAATCCTTAATTCTATAACAGTAAAGTTGGGCTAAAAGCAGCAAATGTAACACAACTTTTTACATTTGTAAGTGTGGAAATTCTAAGAAGTCAATGCTGGAAGACTAACCTGATAAAGGGGCGTCGTTAGATTCTATGATTTCTACCTCTACAATACTGGTTCTGAGATGGATTGACTTCTAGCAAGAGAACAAGATGAAAACAGCATGAAACTATTGAAAGCAAAGGATTGACCAAAATATTTAAAAAATAAAGTGGGAGAAAAAAAATATAAAAAAAAAAAGAAACTAGGGGGAAGACAGCCATTATGACAATCACACCATTATAGGAATGGTTGTAAACAGTGGAATTTTGGACACAAATACACTTTAGTGGTTTAATTTTCAGCATTACACATAAGAATTTGATATTAAATTAGCTGGTGACATAAATCCACACTAAATTATGGTGTTGGAGTTGGCCATTTTGAGGATAGAAGATGAATTTGATTGAGAGAACAATAGGTTGTAAATCATAATTCTTATATTTTATTCGAGTTATACGTGTTAACCATGTTGGACCAAAACAGTTTTTTGAGTGTAAAAACTGAGTTTTTGGTTGACTTTGAGCCTAAATTAAAATGGGACCCGATTGTTATTTTAAATAACATTTCGTGGGTTCATATTCTACTCCGTGAGGAGAATAATGTAGTATATTCACTTGCTCAAATCGAATAAGAAATGAATGAGAAAATAGGTTCCAAAGTGACCCTCTAGAAACATGAAAATAAATGAAATGCAATGTGGGATGTGATACCAATTCCACATTAATCGAGGAAAAAATTCAACATGGGCATATATAGACCAAGTTTGCTCTATGGGATTGGGCTCCAAGGGGTACCAGACCACGAGCACGAGCACGAGTGTGGGTGTGGTTTAGACCAAACCCTATCTTTTTGAATAAAATTCATTTAATTAATGGGCGAGAATTTCTTAACCCGAAATTTAAATTCGATACCCATTAGATCGCATTAGGTCGGTTTTTCAGTCCAAAATTGAATTGTGACTGTTCATGAAGAACCGTTATTCGAGGTGTCCACTGACTGGTCGATTTTTTGTTTCTGGGTTGTGTCCTTTAGTGTGGTGACTGTCCGAACAGTCATCAGACTATCTATAAATATCCAGTTCATGCATTCATTTTAAACATTCAATTAATCAGTCTATCAAAGAATTAAACAGTCTGCATTTCGCCATTAAGACAGTGCATTTAGAAAGAGTACACAACACAATATTGGTTCGTTAGACGAGCAGATTGAAGTACTACTTTTGTTCGTGTAAAGATCATTGTATCCTGGGAGGCAGACGCTCTGTATTCCATAAGCACTGTGTGTGAGGGCGAAATTCGTCTTAAGGACATAGTGTCAAACACTAGCCTTGATCTACCTAAAGTTCAATAATAGTTCCTGTTTTACAATCGGGTTAGTATTTATATTGTTTAAACAAACAATTTATGTGTAACTGTTTGCTACAACTCTTTCGTGTTTCATACTTGGTTGTTACTATTTTACATGGTTCAAATTAGAAAGTTCAATAAGTGATTCTACTATATTTAGAATACCACAACCAACAATCTTAAGACAGATTTCCCACATTAGTATAGTTACTTATTGTGTTTCTGATATTTTTAGACTGTTCTAAAATATTACAAATTGTTAAAACCTGTTTTGTTTACAAACTATGATATTTTGAACAGATTTAAAAATTTGTGAAAAATTACATATTCTGTTTTTTGTGTTTAAATTCAAACAATTATACCAAATTGTTACACCAAACAGTGACTTTGTTTCTGTGTTGCACAAAACAGTGACATTGAATCTGTTTTAATAACTTGCTTTGAAAAGTGTTATTGTTTTCCTATTTTAAATAGTCTGAAATCTTTGTTTATCAGAAATGACAGCAAATGATAATAATGTTCTTGTTACTACAAATCATGTTGTGTCTGTCATGCATATTTCTGTTCCTACTCACGTGTCTCATGGGGAGAAGCCCGAAAAGTTCAATGAGAATTATTTTAAGAGATGACAACAAAAAATGATGTTTTATCTCACTACGTTGAATCTTGTAAAGTTTTTTTCGTGAGGATGCTCCTGTTTGTAGTGAGACTGAGACCGACCGTCAAGTTGTTGTTGCGGTAGATGCATGAAAGCATTCTAATTTTTTGTGCAAAAACTATATCCTCAATGTATTGGATAACACATTATATAATGTGTATAGTCCAATCAAGACGGCAAAAGAGTTATGAAAATCCTTGGATAGAAAATAAAAGACGAAGGATGTCAGAATGAAGAAATTCGTTGTGGACAGATTCTTTGACTATAAAATGGTGGATTCTAAGACTATCATAAGTCAATTTCAAGATTTTCAAGTGATCCTACATGAGATTCATGCCGAAGGGATGATGCTTAGTGAATCTTTCCAAGTGGCCGCAATTATTAAAAAATGACCTCAAAATTGAAAGGACTTCAAAAACTATTTGAAGCACAAACGCAAAGAAATGAAACCTGAAGACTTAATCATGAGATTAATGACTGAGGAGGACGATAGAGTCTCCGAAAAAAAATTTGATGGAGTGAAAAACACATGTGATTGAAGAGGGACATAAAACCAACAAGAAAAGGAAGTATGTTGGCGAGCAAGGGGCCAAGGGTGGTGATTCCAAAAGGTTCAAAGGCAATTGTTTTGTGTACAATAAACTGGGACATCGTGGAAAGGATTGTCGAAACCGTAAAGCATAAGAGAATCACAAATGGAAGGTTCCCCAAGCCAATATAACCGAGATAGAAAAATTTTCTGACAATGTTTCTAACATAAGTTTTTCTGTTGTAGTATCTGAAGTGAACTTGGTGGGAAGTACCAAGGAATGGTGGGTAGACACCGGGGCCATTAGACACATATGTTCGGATAAGAAGATGTTCTCTTCATATGAAGTAATGAATGATGGAGAACAACTCTTTATGATAAATTCTTCAACTTCCAAAGTTGAAGGCAAATGAAAGGTTATATTAAAGATGACTTCCGAAAAAGAACTTACTCTCAATGATGTGTTACATGTTCTAGAAATTCGAAAGAATCTTGTGTATGGATCGTTGTTGAGTAAGAAAGGTTTTAGGTTGATTTTTGAGTCCAATAAATTTGTACTCACAAAAAGTGGGATTTATGTGGGTAAGGGATATATGAGCGATGAACTCTTTAAGATGAATGTAATGACAATTGTATCTGGTTTTAATAAAAAGAATACATCTTCTGCCTATATGCTTGAGTCCTCCAATGTATGACATGGTAGATTAGGACCTGTTAATTTTAATACTATGCATAAATTAATGAATTTAGAATTGTTACCTAAATTCAATATTGATACATATCATAAATGTGAGGTATGTGTTGAATCAAAATTAACTAGAGCATCATCTCATAATATTGAAAGAAGTACTGAACTTCTAGAATTAATTCATAGTGATACATATGATTTCAAATATGTTCAAACTAGAGATGAAAAGAAATACTTTGTTACGTTTATTGATAATTGCATAAGATATTGCTATGTATATTTGTTAAGGAGTAAAGATGAAACATTAGAAAAATTTATGAATTATAAGAATGAGGTTGAGAATCAACTTAGCAAAAAGATTAAGACAATAAGAAGTGATCGAGGTGGTGAATATGATGCACCTTTTGATCGATTCTGTCAAAAACATGATATTATTCACCAAACTTCTACGCCTTATACACCTTAGCAAAATAGAATTGTTGAACGTAAAAATAAAACTTTAAAAGAGATGATGAATGTCATGTTGATTAATTCGGAATTACCTCAGAACTTGTGGGGGGAAGCTTTGTTTTCAGCAAATTATATTTTAAATAGACTACTCCACAAGAAGTTAGATAAAACCCCTTATGAATTATGGAAAGGAATGAATCCTTCCTACAAATATTTAAAAGTGTGGGAGTGTTTGACTAAAGTGATGGTTCATATTTCCAAAATGATTAAAATAGGACCTAAGACTATTAATTGTATATTTATTGGTTGTACAATAAATAGCAATGCATATCGTTTTCTTGTGTATAAATTTGATATTTCTGATATACATGTCAATATAATCATTGAGTCAAAAAATGCATCATTTTTTGAAAATATATTTCTTAGTAAAAATACATGTGATGAGAGTTCTCTTAAAAGAGCTCATGATACTGTAACTAGCAATATAGACAATGAATCTATAAATGAAGAAAGTGAAGAGGCACTTAGACGCAGTAAGAGGGCAAGGACTTCCAAGTCCTATGGTTCAGATTTTCTAACATATTTATTAGAAAATGAGTCTCAAAGCTTCAATGGAGCGATGTCCACTCCAGAAACACCTATATGGAAAGAAGCTGTAAACAGTGAAATTGAATCCATCATGCAAAATCACACCTGGGAGTTGGTAGATCTTCCTTCAGGGAGTAAACCATTGGGGTGTAAATGAATTTTCAAGAGGAAAATGAAAAGTGATGGATCAATTGATAAGTACAAGACTAGACTTGTAGCTAAAGGTTACAAACAAAAAGAAGGTCTTGATTACTTTGATACATATTCTCCTGTCATGAGAATAATATATATTCGTATGCTCATAGCTATTGCAATATTGCATAATCTTGAGATACATGTGAAAACAGCTTTCTTAAATGATGACTTAAATGAGGAAATTTATATGGAACAACCCGAAGGGTTTGTTTCTCTGGGACAAGAAAAGAAAGTGTGTAGACTTGTTAAATCACTTTATGATTTAAAGCAAGCACCAAAATAATGACATAAAAAATTTGACAAGGTAATGATGTCAAATGGTTTCACAATTAATAATTGTGATAAATGTGTCTATATTAAAGACACAAATAATGGATATGTCATTGTTTGTCTATATGTGGATGATATGCTTATTTTAGGTAGTAATAATAATATTATTACA